CCACAGATTATTTTTCTATGCATCCCCAGGAAATTTTATCATGACAATAACAAAGTTCTGGTAGTAGGAATACAAGCCTCAAAGACAAAAGATAAACATATTCATAAAATAATAGGCCAAGTTGAATTGACACACACCAAAAATACACCAGGGTGTATTGTTGGAAAAACATTTATTGCAATTCAGTGTCAAAAAATGTTTACAAAAATAGGCCACTGTCTGGTACAAACAACTATAAAAAAGTCAGTTTATCATGCAAGAAAGGTGTGCAAATAAGTTATACAGGACTCAGATTATTCAATATTAAACAATCATCTTTGCATGTAATCTGTCTAACCGTATACATTTAGTTAACACATTCCACCCACTCTAATATTTTTTTCTTGAAAAAGTACATTTAAAGCTTCTAGGTGTAGACACAGACTATAATATACACTCTCTTTAGCCAGGGTGACTAGCATTTGGTAGTATAAAAATGGCTCCAAAGACTCTCGAGGGTGGAGCAGAGCTTGGAGCCATCCAATAAACAGCCTTGTGCATAGTTAGCAAATGTTTTTCTGCTCATCGTCATGTTCAGTAATGCTGAAGCATATGGAACATCCAGAAGTTTGGAGTTTTGATGTAGTGATCCATTTCCAGCCAAATGCAGAGGGACTAAGTATAGAGAGCTCTCTCAAGAAGCTTTGCTTGCTGAAGTCAAGAACACTTTGAAAAAGGTGCACCAGACAAAATTATGGCTATCACCATCCCTTGCCTTAGGGGATAAATTCTGCTAATTGCAAACAAAGCCGAATAATGTGAACTCCCACCAGATAGAACCTCACTGGATCTTGCAATGGGGCTCACCGGTAAGAGAGGAGCAGGAAGGAGGATGGGTGGCTTAAATGTACCTTTCCATTTCAGGAGAAGAAAGACATGCCAGTAGGAGCTGGGTCAACACTACACTCATCTGTTCTTTGTGTGTGTGTGTATGTGATTTGTGCATGTGTACATGCTAGAATGGCTGGGGATATGTGTGCACTTATGTATTTGGAGGTCAGGGCAGACGCTGGGAGTCTTCCTGGATCTCTGTGCACTTTTATTGTGAGGCAGGATCTCTCACTGAGCCTGGGTATCACTTGATTCTTAAGACTGGATGAATTCCCCATGCACTGAAGTTCATGCCTGGCTTTCACATGGGTGCTGGAATCTGGATTCGGGTCTTCACACTTTCATAGCAGACACTTTATCAACCAGCCATCTCCCCAGGACCCTGTAATCTATTCTGAGAAGCCTTGCTATGTATCCCTGGCTAGAAGTGCAACTCTCCTACCTCCGCAAAGGTTACAGGTGTACACCACATGCCTGGCGTGTTGGTTACTTCCTAGTAACCATGCTGTAGTCACAGCAGAATGAGAGGGTGTGAAAATGAATGGGGGCTCCTTAACTTCTCTGGTAAGAACCAGACTTAAAAGGTTTGGAAGGTTTTGTGGCAGACGCCCATCAAGGGATGGTCTCCTCTGCCTCCCGCAATGAGGGTCTTTGGAAGAATCACACCAAGTGTCGTGAATCTACACATGTCCACAAGGTGCTTGGGTGGGAGGTGGACTCCTAGCTCTAGGTTTCTGTTCGCTCTCTGTTGCTGACTTCACAGGGAGTGCAGAGGAAGGCTCCCCATCTCCCAGTTCTGGACAGGCTTCCTCATCTTGAAAGGTAGAAATGTCAGAATACTCCCTCGCTAGCAACCCTTCTTGGTCTAACGTCTGGGATGGGGATTTCCTTCATTTAGAAAACCAAAGGTGGGTTTGTTGTTGTTGTTTTCTGTTTCAGTAAAGCAGAGAAGGAAACATTTACAGAAAACGTAGAATTTAGAGGAATTACTACCTTATCTGTTGAAACCATAGACGGCCCATGATACATCAAAGAGCAAGGTCCCTGCGTGTGCCCAGAGGTTGAGGGTGATTCTTAGTCTCTGCAAGCATTAACATGTTTCAAGCCAGCATCCAGTCAAGAGAAGATGGTTCATAGACTCAGAGAGTTGGAAACAGAAGAAAAAAACAAAAAAACCACCAACAACAGATGTCAACATAGAAAATTATAGAGTTTAGTTTAGTTTAAAAATGCACACATAAAAATCACGGTCAAAAATTCACACATAAAATTTAGAATGTTTGCATAGCAAGATGTTATTGGCCTACAGCCAGGCAGAAAAATATAAACCCAGGTGCATGTTTGACAATCACCATTGTTTTGAATGCTGAGAACCACACGCTACTAAACATGTCCTGATTTATCTCTGTGAATCATGTCAGTTGCTTAGGCAAATCAAATCCCCAACCTTTTTTCTTCCACATAGAACAATGGAAACAAGGAACCTATGTCAATAGCAAGCACCTCACCAGGGAAGGGTGTGGGAGGCCACAGGGATGTGCCACCCACTAGCTGGCTTCACGGCCACAAGCAGATCTGCTCTTCTGCTGAGAGCTTTTGCAGTGGACATTATCTTGTCCAAGCCACTTCTACCTGAAATTGATCACCACCAGCCAGAAGGCCTGTCCCCGCTGATGGACTGGAGGTCCCCTTGTAACGTCTGGTCCTTTGTGCCACCCTTGCATCCCATTGGACTGATTACACCTGTTCACTCAACAGTGGTGAGTCATGACATGGTCTAGCTGCCAGTGTCACTGGGTTTATTTATTTATTTTTCCTCTTACTGGCCCTTGCCATAAAAGGAGCATTCCTAAACTTTATATGGAATGATTCTCCCTCTTCAGAGACTCTCAGCCAATTGCTCTTAAGTTTTCAGTCCCCTTTCCCTGGGTTTGCTCAGGTTTACAGAACACGTTTCCTTCTCTTGATACCCAAATGACTTCAGAGTGGGCACAACTCTAGCTCTGCTTTACAGCATGCAAAGGAGGGCCAGGGGGCCACGGCACAGAGAAAAATGTGTTTGTGTTGGAAAAATTCTTCCAGCAGTTTCTATTGCCACACCCCTCTTGCTTTTTGTAGCCGCAGCTCTGGGTCTGGGATCCTCAGTTTGTGTTTTAGATCTGGGAGTCCTGGGTGGGTTTGCCAAGAGGAATTCTATAGACTATTAATGTCCTAGGAGCAGACGTTTTTAAGTCCTGTTACTTGTACGTGAGGCTCTGGCCATGACCTAATATGGGTGTCTTGCCTGCTCAACACTCTCCATTGCTCCTCCCCCTCGCAATATCAAAGATACACCATTTCTACTCCTCCCCCTCTCCCTCTCCACCTGCCACATCCTTCCTGTTCCCAAGAACCAATGAAAGTGACCCACACAGGCTCCTTTTTCCTCTTTCATCCTACATTGATTCTTCAGCTGTGCCATATCCAATGACGCCAAGGCTCACAGACTCTCCAGGCACCCAGCCAGCTCTCAGTGCTTGGGGAGAGGGCCATTTTGCACAGAGGCAGGTTGTTGCAGGTATGATGTGTGCCTCTGCGCACTGCTGACATTGTCCATGAGACTGGCTTGCCAGAGCTGTGGTAACAAGGTAATGTGGCCCCTAACCCGCGGGCCCTTAACCCTATGTGTCACTCAATCACTGTTTCCAGATCTTTCTGTAGCAGTGGCTGACCCAGCTCCACCTCACATCTAGATTATAAGATAACATACTGTAGAGTCTGACAATTTTGGAAAAGTGTCTTCCTTCCTTCCCTCTTCTTTCAGAGTCAAAGCCCTATGTTCCTATGTAGTGTTCTGCCTGCATGTATCCCTGCAGGCCAGAAGAGGGCACCAGATCTCATTACAGATGGCTGTGAGCCACCATGTGGTTGCTGAGAATTGAACTCACGACCTCTGGAAGAGCAGCCAGTGTCCTTAACCACTGAGCCATCTCTTCAGTCCCTTCCCTATGTTCTTAATGTGAAACTAATTCTTGGGTGAAGAGTAAAAAGAAACGAAACCAAATAGAAAACCCTTCGCTGTTACTGGTTTCTAGTCCCATCTTTTACATCTCCCTTTCCCCATTACGAGCCTTTAAATTCAACTTAATTTTCCCCTCAAGGAAGAAGGAAATGTGAAGAGCTTCTGGTGTAAGCAGATACTGCACAGCTGACTCCGACTGCCTGCACCGCACTGCCCCAGGCATGCTCTATTACTGAAGGGACAGGTGTTGACTGTCCCTTGTTCCTGTGCACGCTCAGCCACTTTTCCTCTCCTCCGAGGACCACCCAAGCATCAATGCTTCAGGTTACACAATACCTTACTTAACATTTATGTGGAACAACTTTCTATTTCTGCTTACTTGCCAAGGACATGCATAGTGGCAGGTTCATTTGGAGATTAAAAAAAAAAAAAAAAAAAAAAGAAAGCAAATACAACTGCAAATATATGTACATGGTAGAAAAGCATCAATCTATAAAAAGTAAAAAATAACATTGCCCCCCACCCCAGGAATCAGCTCCTGAAGTCCTGAGATTTGCTTTCTTCCACAGTGTTCATATCTCTGCTTTGCAACCCCCCCCCCCAGGATCCTTTGTTTCTTAACTCTCTGTTTTAACTCAGCTCTGAAAGAAGATGAACTCATCTCTCTGGCTGTCTGGAGCTCCAGGCTTCCTATAAATCACACTTGTGGTAAGTCCCAGTTCAGGATGACTCAGGTTTGATGTTGGACCTAAAGAACCGAATAGAGCTTCGGCTCATTACCCTGCCAGGGAAGCATCAGCTATCAGAAGGGTTAATTGGCTAGTGGGAAAATGTCTCTCTCCAGCCTCAGCTCCACTAAGTTCACAGACGTCCACTAATCCATGAAGATACCCATGGAAGCCCAAAGCCCAGAAGTTAAGCGAGAAGAGGGTAGAGTTAAATCAGAAGTGCCAAGCCTCCACATCTACAGGCACCTAATTCTAGCTCTTCATGACTCCTGCTGGAGCTGTTCTTAACACTGGCCTTCCAGTTCCCTACACTTGCTACAGCATGGAAGGAAAAAAAGCCTTAGATACCGGGAGGGGAGAGGGAAAAGGCAGTCAGAACCAAGAGAAGTTTTGTTTTGTTGTTTTCTAATAGCGTTCTCATCTCAGATCATTGACAGATGAAAGAACTTACATGAAACACAGACATTGCCTGCTAGATAACGCATGCTGTCAGAGAGCACTCTATGCTTTTAGAGGTAGACCATTGTGTGGCATCTTCGTAGGATAAGGCCTTATGCCCCGTGCAGGTTTCAGATGGGCGGACGTCTCTGCCTGTTCAAAAAAACCCCAAAACCAAACCCAAAGCCCAAGGACTTCTCAACTGAAGTGTTCATTTTTCTTCTTCCTCATTTTGTCTTAGCATTATCACATTGTAAACAGTGTTCTGTCTTGCCTTTGAGTTTTGCCTTTTTCTTCGGAAGTTTCCGTGAACATCAAGAGGACTCCATTTTCATGACAGACATAGAGTTCTTGCCCTTATAGTCTTGCTGGCAAATAGTTAGGAAAAAAAAATAAAAAGTCTATTTACAGTATCTGTTTTCCCGTACCAGTTCTAATGTGAAGTTCACATTTGTAAATTCCCACTGGCAGCTGCATCTCTTCCTTCCAAAGTCTTCTCCTCAGTGACTTAGAAGTCTCAAGCCAAGGCTTAAAATGTACTATTTACAAAGGAAGGATCCGAACTCCCAGCCATCTGGTCAGCAGGGGCCTCGTGAAGTGCTGTCATGTGTTGGGATTCAGAACTTGAACAAGTTAATGAAGTCCTGGGGGGACAGTGGCATGGAGCAGCTCTCAGGGTTGTTGGCTGTGCACGGATGGTCAGTGCCCTGGAAAGAGCATCGTGGTTAGATCTGAGATCTTCAGTGGCAGCTCCCTGGCTCTGTACGGCGTGGCCCAATCTCTTAGCAACTCTATCAAGAATGCCACGCAGGGGCTGGAGAGGTGGCTCCATGGCTAAGAGCATGTTACTGCTCTTGAAGAGGACCCAAGTCCTGGTCTTGTATCTGGACCAAGTGGCTCACCACCACCTGTAACTTCAGCTCCATGGTATGTGACACCTTCTTCCAGCCTCTGCAGGCACTGCTCTCACATGAACATAAGCACACACGCAAACATGTATGCATGTTTATGAGCACAGATACCAACAAATCTTAGAGGCAGGAGAATGCCACCGAATTCAGGGAGTGAGGAGTGACTGGAGTGTGACCATGAGGACAGGTGTGTTTGGGTTCCGGGTACCCACATAAAAGCTGGGCATGAAGGCATGCATCTTGTAACCCTAGGGCACAGGGGTGAGGCTGCACAGGGGTGAGGCTAGTCTAGCCAACCTGGTGAGCTCCAGGTTCAGTCTTTTTTAAAGATTTATTTTATGTATATGAGTGTTCTATCTGCATGTAGTGCTAGAAGAGGGCATCAGATCACACTGTAGATGGTTGCGAGCCACCATGTGGTTGCTGGGAATTGAACTCAGGACCTTTGGAAGAGCAGCCATCTCTCTAGCATTCCCCCTCTCCTTTCTAGCTCTCCCCACATTGTTTTTAAGGTGGTGAGCTATTGAGGAAAAAGGAGACTGTGATCTCAGGCCTCCACATGCATGTGTTCATATGTCATATGTCACATACATGTGCATACACAAACACATCCCACATATACTGCCCCTCCTCACCCCCCAAAGGAATTTCACAGCACTGAGAAGCTAAAGAATATTAGTGTTTGCCTATGTGTTCACCTGTGCACACAAAGACAGAATGTGTGGTGAATGGGTTTGACAGAAATCAGCATAAGGGCTGGAGGAAATGCAGGTGTCTGAGCGTCTCTTCCCTGCACAAGTGCCCACTGAGACTCACTCTCCTCTTAGTTCAGGGCGGAGAGAGGAGAGAACACGGGAGGTCTGGTCTCATGTTGCTGGTTTTGTTGGCACTTAGGACCCCGGCTCGGGGGTAGTCAGGGCTGGAGGCAGACACTGAAGCAGAGGCCATGGAGGGAGCTGTGTTCAGGCTGTTCCTCCAGCTTGCGCAGCCTGCTTTGTTACTGCTGCCCAGGAGTGGTGCTGCTCAGCCAGCTGGGTCCTTCTACAATGACCAACCAAGGAAATGCCCCATGGTCTTGCCCACAGCCCAGTTTGGTGAGGACATTTTAAACTGAGCCCCCCCCCCTTCCAAAACGATGCTAGCTTGTGTCACGTTGACACAACCCTGGCCAGCACAGACACGTACCTTCCAGGAGAGGATGTGGCAGTGTCTGCAAAGCTGCAGGGTGTCCCCATACTGCTCTCTCCGTGGGTAACATCGTATCAGCTTAAAATACATCTTCTTCCAATCCAGCTGTCCTTTGTCAGACAAGATCAGTCGCTTTCGGATCTAAAAACCAAGCGGAGAAAAGTAGTTTCAGGAGAGGACAGTTTGGGGTTTTCTGGTTCCGAGGGCCTGCTCCTACTCTCTCCCCCACGTTTTTACACGGATTCTAGAGCGCCCAGGGACAAAACTGTCAACTTGGAAAGCGGCGCTTCCCTAGTTCTCTCTGCTCACTCAGCACTGTTTAACCAGCTCCGGAAAGAAACAGGGATTCCTAGTGATTGATTGCTCCTGCACTGCCTTGGACTGGCCCCACAGGCCACGCCCATCTTTTCTTTGCTGGACACCTGGACCATTATTTCCAGGCAGGCGTAGTTATTAGCACCGTGGCTCTATTTTACTTCACGTTTACGTATCAGTGGCTCCATGAAGAGACCCTGTTGAATTAATTAACGCACATACGCAGAAATCGGAAAACCAGCCCTAAGTGGTGTGATGAGGAACAGGTTTACAGGGTGAATTGGTCCACGGTCCAATTCAAATGTAGGGCCAGTTAGTCCTCTCACTCTGAGGGTCATTTCACTAAAGTGAATACAGCAATTGATCATTTGTGGCCTTGGTCATTTCACCTGTTTGAAGTGAGCATGACAATATCTACTCTTCTTGGGTTGGAAGGATAAAAGGAAATAATGTTCATAAAAGTGCTTGTATAAAGCACCATAAATGTCTTTTTTCTTTCTTTCTTTCTTTCTTTTTTTTTTTTAAGGAAGAGGCAATACCAATTTGTGAAATTTTGGGGTGAGCTGTAAAATGTAACTTGCGTTAGGGATTTATTTATTTTTTTCCTTTATCAAGACAATGACGACAATAATAAGGAAACCAAAAGCAAAAAAATCTCCAACACTGACTTAGGAACACTTTAGACCAGTGTGGTTCTTAACTTAAGGGTCACGATCCCCTGTTGGGGGTCCAGTGACCCTTTCACAGGGCTAGCCTAAGACCACTGTGATACTTATGTTGTGATTCATAACAGTGTCAAAATGACAGCTGGGAAGTAGTAACGAAAATAATTGCATGGTTGGGGGTCACCACAATACAAGGAACCGTACTGAAGGGTCACAGTGTTAGGAAGGTTGACAATCCCAGCCTTAGGCTGCTGCTTTCCGGTAAGCCAGGCATTCCTGGAGGCAGGCAGCGCCACTTCATGCTGGAGAAGAACCGGTCTTTTTAGGGGGTCAGATCAGGGAGCACGGGGAGTGGGGGGAGCAGGTCACTGGACTTCACGGACCTGCCGTTCTGAGAAATGGTACTGGCAGAGTCGCTTCCACAGCAGCCGGTCCTCACTGAGCACATGCAGGTCTGGGGCTGCCTGGCCCAGGCTGACCAGGTCCCGTCCATCGCTCAGCCTCTGCATGATGTTCAGCTGCAAGCACACAGGCAGGTCGGTGAACGTGAGGCCCTTGAAGGCAGGCTGCAGAGAGAAGGCCAGGTAATTAGCTGGGTACTTTCCAGGTAACTTGCTCCCAGAATGCCAATGTGCCCCAGACGTCCAATCTCAAGCTGGTTTATCAACTGCTAGATTCTCAAAGTGGTGATGCTCCTGGTCCAACAAGTAGAAGCAGGGCCCAGGGCAGTGTCCTGGCTGACTGCAGCTGGCAGGCTTTCTTTTAGTTTGCAAGCTTTTGCTTTGGAAAAAACAAACAAACAAACAAAAACTCACTAAAAAGCGTATGCTGGATTCCTTCCTTCCTTCCTTCCTCCCTCCCTCCCTCCCTGAGACAGCCCTGGCTGTCCTAGAACTCACTCTGTAGACTAGGCTGGCCTTGAACTCATGAGATCCACCTGCCTCTGTCCCCCAAGGCCTGGGATTAAAGGTGTGCACCGCCTTCATTCTGCTATATTTTTCTTTATTGCTGAGATTTTCATACATGTATACAACGACACCATCTACCCCGTTTCTCTCCTCTAACCCCTCCCCCCTGTAACTGACAGGCCCTCTCAACTTCATGTCCTTTTTAGAAAATATTTATTTTTATTGCATGTGTGTGAGTGTTTGCCTGCATTTATGTAAATGCAGCATGTCCATGCCTAGTGCCTACAGAGGTCAGAAGAGGTTGAATCCCCTGGACCTGGCGTTACAGTGGTTGTGAGCTGCCATGTGGATGCCAGTAACAAAACCCAGGTCCTCTGCAAGAGCAACAAGTGCTCTTAACCACTGAGCCATCTCTCTAGCTTCTCATGGTTCGTTTTCGACAACCCCCTAAGTCCAATTAATGCTGCCCATATGTGTGTGGTGTGGGGCCATCCACTGGAGCATGGGAACATACTGGAGTTTTGTGCTTTGTCAGCTTTCCCGCTCAACTCCAAGACACACCTTCCAAAAGTGCCACTGTCCCGATGGCTGGCCCAGGCAGACACCTGGCCTCCCATCCTCTGTGATCTCAGATCTGTGATCTCCCTGTCCTCTGTGATCTCAGATCATCCCATTTCAGGGTACTCCCCGGCACCCAAACCATGTCTTGCCTACCTATGTACAGTGCCCTCACCCACCTGGCCTTCGCCTGCCCCTCAGACCCACTTCAAACCCATTCCCATTGGACATGCGGTACATGCCTTTGAACCCAGCACTTGGGAGGTAGCAAGAGTTGGATATCCATGTGCTCATGGCTATCCTGGTCTACATAGCAAGTTCTAAGACAGCCAGGGCTACAGAGAGAGACCCTGCCTTAAAAAAAAAAAAAAAAAAACAACAACAACAAAAAACCAAATAAAAAGCAAAACCAAACTCACCCCTTTCCTCTGACTACCTTTTTGGCCTTTTTGGCTTCTGTATTTCCCTTAGGTCTCCTTCCCTGCACCGTCTTAGACCTCCAGGAGCTCCTTCATTGACTGTCTGTATCCTCCCCACCCCCTTAAACAACTCCTTCCCCTTAAAAAAACACTGAATGGGACCATTCCTTTCAGAGCTCAAGGTCCTGGACAACAGGGAGTCTGCTTTGTTTTGCTGTTGTGCCCTGGTGTCCAGAGTGTTTGTCACATCATAAGCACTCAATAAATATTAGTGCAATGGATTAAGTCCAAACAGTTGCACGGGGAAAAAAAAGAGCATAACACAAAGACCCTGTGTTTGTGTGTGTGGTATGTGTGTTTACAGGGCTATATGTATGTGTATGCATGCATCTGTGTGGGTTTGTGTATGTATGCTTGTGGATATGCGTTTGTGTGTATGTGTTTGTGTACATTCTGGGAATGGTTTGCTCCAAACCCTTTGAGCTAAGCTCCACTGTAACAGAGGTGGCTCTATTCACACCAGGGAACATTCAATTTCCAAAACTTTTATTCTACAAATATGAGTGTTTTGCCTGCATATATATATGTGTGTGTGTGTGTGTGTGTGTGTGTGTGTGTGTGTGTGTGCACCATATGTGTGCATGGTGCCCCTGGAGATCAGAAGGTGTCACATCCTCTGGAACTAGAGTTTCAGATGGTTGTGAGCCCCCATGTGGGTGGTGGGAACTGAACCCTGGTCTTCTGCAGAAGCAACAGTGCTCGTAACTGCTGAGCCCCTCCAGGGAAGGTTTTACAAACTACTCATTTATATGTAATAGACACCTTGAGCTTCTGTAGGAACTTGTACTAAAGCCCCAAGCTTATATTCAAGCCCTTTCTTATTTTAAAATTTGATGATCTCAAGATACCTCACCTAGATCTACATCCTTGAAGGCAGGCTCTAGCTTGGAGGCCTTGGAGACTGACTAGTCCAGCACAAAAGGCCCTTGTGACACTTACTGTAGACAGGGGCAGAACTGCAGAGGGAAAAACAATACTCTTGGAATAGGGATTATTTTTCTCATCAACATACAGAAGCCCAAACACACGGAGGACTTCAGGGGTTACTTGAGCCCAGCCTCATTAGGATTCCAAGTGCCATTTAGTACTGGAAATCACCCAAGTCCCTTGGTAGGGAAGACAGGTACTGGTGGGAAGATTGGTCATACAAGGAGGACTTACTGGGGACTGTTGAGAAGAACGGGCGTGGCATGGGAGGGGATGTGATATGGGCAGATGGCAGATCCAAATGGCATCCTGGGAAGCCTGGGTCTCAGCTTCCTCAGCTCCCAAAGACTGTGTTTAGAATACTGAAGATCCCTCTAGCTCTAATGGTCTTGGACCTGCAGCGACTCAGGCCTCCTGTTTCATCAGAAGTGTCCGTGATTTGACAACTTTTACTGCTCACTTCTACCCCAGGCTGTTGGGCCGAAGTCAATTTGTTTGCAACATCCAGGACTTTGTGTGACCGCAGCAAGCCCTAGACCTATTTGTCATTTATCATCTGCTGTTGATCATATGAGCTAATAAAACTGCCATGGGATTTTCTCTTTGTTTCCAGCACTTCAAAGCCTCTACTTTTTTGGTGAAAAGTCCCAGGCCAATTATTACATTAACTCCTATTAAAGGCAAGTTTGCTTGGCAGAGTTCGCTCTGTCAGATTTTCAAACCTGAACTTTTCCAAAGCCCTTGCCCAGACCTCATGCCAAGCCCTTATTCCTGATAGATGGTTAACTGCTTGCATGCCTTCTTCCTTTCGAATATAAACATATAAAAGGAAAAATATGTCACTCTCGAAGCCTTAGTCAAGCATTTGGCTAAACTCCGTTTGCATCTACCCCAGCCCCCATTTTCCAAAACATTGCACAGCACTATAATTATATTTAATTTTCCCCCTACAAACCAGTTCTCTTAATTTTGTCCTTCGTCCCTTATTATTATATAAATCACATTTGCCAATAAAAATTGGCTTGAGAGAACTAGATATGAATATTTCTAAGGCAAACAATGTTATGCTGGGGCAGCTGTGGCAGACCATGGGCAAAGAGGAAAGTGTCTACTGTGAAAGTCAGCTTAATATTTTCAAGGATTGGCACACCTCTCCTTCTGACAAATATAAAAATATCATCCAGGCTGAGGTAATTAGTGTGTTCTTGTTCTCTTACACCCTCCTCACTCTCTGTCCAAGGACCTTATAACCCAGGCTGGCTTCAAGTTTTTTCTGTAGGGAGGATGACCTTGAGCTCACCATTCTCCTGCCTCTACTTCCCAAGCGTGCTGAGATTACAGGCCCGAGTCACCAAGCCCCAGAAGAGTTGGGGATTTATGTGGGAAGCCCTACTATACAGCTCTCAGAACAGAACAGCTCAGCGCCCCTGGTGGGTTCAGGAGAGGACGGAGTGGAGAAGCTACCAGTGGTTTAAAGTATAACCTCTGTGAGCAGCCTGTTTTGGAGTCTGATGTCAGACCTCGGGGCACAATCACAGACTGCCCTCCATGGTCTTGGTTTCTACATCCTTGAATTCTATGAACCACAGATGGGAAATGCTGAGGGGGGGAAAAACGCATCTGCACTGACTTCGTAGACTCTTTCTTGTCATCATGCCCGATGCACATAGCATCCTATAAGGTATTAAAATCAGGCTCAAGATGATTGCAGTGCAGAAGAGGATGCATGTAGGCTAAGCAGAGTCACTGTACAAGACACTAGAGCATCCATGGCATCCAGGGTATCCTTGGCATGTCTCTGAAATTTATTCTCTGTGGATACTGAGGATGATTTTTTTCTCACTTACAAAACGAAGAAATGAAAATCTTGCAGTGTGGCTGGGTAGAAGAGATGAGACAATGCATAGAAGTAAATTTCAGTCATTTGCCACAGTTACAATTCATTACTAGATAAGATTATTATCACATGGGAAGCACTTACAGTATGTGTGCAGGCAAGCCTTTGATCATAACAACATCTAATTCAGCTATAATAATGACTACTATATACCAGGTCCTGTTCCAGCTGCTGTCTGTAGACTAGCTTAAGCAATCTCTTTCCTATGTTAAATCTCACACAGGGATATGAGATGAGCATGTCTGCCTCTATTTTCCAAGTGACGAAAGTGAAGCTGAGTAATGGTCAGAATCTTGCAGTTGGTAACTTATCACTGTCATCCATCATCTAGGACAATATTGTCCAACCGTGCACCCTGGAACTCTGAGCATATACTTCAGTAGGCAGGTTGGTGGGGAACTGTCTCTTCAAAGAAGCATTCACTCTTCAACTAAAATCTACTGACTGCCAGTACCAGGTATAGAGTGGCAGGAGACCAAGTCTTTTCTTTTGGAAAAGCAGTGGATGGGGACAGATGTGTATGTGTGTGAGATCCTTCTAGCTAGTCAGACGGCTCTGACGAAGACTGTGATAGGAGATTTAAGAGATGGGATGGACCAGGAAGACCGTGAGCCAAAAGGCCCTGAGGTAGCATGTAGGGGAAGGGTGGGGCTCACTGGAGCACCTCAGGTAGATGTTAGAGAGAGATGAGCATCAGGCCTGGATCCCTTCTGCAGAGGATTTCATTGGATTAAAAAGCGTTTTGATTTTTTTTTTTTTTGGATGAGCTGGATCAGTGGATAAGCAGTTGGAAGAGAACTAGATGGGAAAAAGTTTGGAAACCACTGATGTTCAGCACACTTTGCCATTTTAGGAATAAATGCCTGCAGCTTCTGACTTTAGCCTAACTGCTGTGCAGTGCTGAGAAGATCACTGGCGTGCTCTGATGCCCACTTCAGCGCCACCCTAGTAGGGGTGATAGTAGTCACAATGGCTGACTTTCAAGAGTGTTTGGGGTCAACCAAGGAGGGTTTTAAGGACATAAGGTCATGAAGGTGTAAGGAATGGGAGATCGGGGTAGGAGACACGCTTGTTTGAGGTGGCCAGAGGGAACACAGTTCAGGGGCAAGCATGGCCATCCAAATGAATCCTCCAAATTGCGATCTCCTTGGAACAGATGGCCTTGTTTGTTTCCATCACTGGCTGGGAACTTTCTCTGGGGAATAAGACCAGGATGCATTCAGTCCAGGCCATAGAGACTTGGGTCTACCTGAGTTTTCTGAGAGAAGAAGGGAATTCTGGTCTTAAATGTGCATTGTTAAGCTGTGTCTCTACTTCAGAGATGAGACAGGGACAAATGCTTACAATTATACTGTTTATGACAAATGCTTGATTTGCTTAAAACAATCCAACGGTGGTGATAACTTCTGAAAGATGACCTACATTTGGGCTCTGTTCGGTCCTTTGCACACATGTGTTTGCAGGCACATGCATGTGTGTGCACGTACATGCGTATGTGGGTGTGTACAAGCAGGGACGTCATGGCCTAAGTGACTCTAAGGAAGTCATGTCATTAGAGGTATCCGATTATTCCCTGTGCTGCAGAATTTAAGAAACCAAGGCTCAGAGAAGCCACTGATTGTAAAGAAAGAATGTGCTTTTTGGAAACATCATACAGAAAGGTAACTACTTAGAAGAGTCACAGGGTTTTCTGTCTGCATGTCACCTTCACCTGATACATGGTGTAGCTCTAAACTGTGTGAGCCCCGGAAGCCACTTAACCAGCCCGGTGTGTGATTAGATAAATTAGCCAAGTGTTGCCTGAGCTCCCCAAGTGTGCCTGTCCATTAGTGAGCCCTGAGAGATTACGCCAGCGACATTCACACAGTTGTGTGTGCCTTAGTATCCCCCTCATCAGTAAGAGGATGGGAGCCAAATGAAGACCACACTGGTAATCCACAGGCTCTGAGTGAGTCTAGCTCAGCATTTTCTTACTTGTTCAGGCTTGGTTCAAAGGTGTCCTTTGTCATCACTACCATTAAATGGGACTGAAATTCTAAAAGGCTGGTGGTACCAGTTCTCCAAGCCACTGTCTTCTGGGTTCCATTGTACTCAAGGCAGTATCCCCAGGCCACAAACAGCTCATTCTTTTTGAGGGAGTGGGCAGAGAGCTCCCCCAAGCCTCACTGAACCCTTGAGCGGACAGCCAGCATCCCTCCCCGAATAGCCATGTTCCCATTTCTTTGCCCAATGTTTCAGTTGCCTGTCATCTTTCATATTCCTTCCGCTTGTTTTGCCAAGTTCTTCTCCCCGCCCACCCCGCTTTATCGGGATGCTCCTCATACCACCTACCACCCTCAGCGCACGGATGAGGCAGCAGACCAGAAGCGGCCGCTGCTGCATCCCCAGAGTGAGGAAACCTTGGTGGGGTGAGTGGGGCTTGCACTCACCCTGGTGATCTGGATGCCACTCAGCTGCTGCTGCCAGTGTAGAATGGTCTCCATCCGGTACACCCACATATTAATGTTGCCCACCAGGACAGACTTGCCAACTCTCTGGACCAGCGTGCATAAGGATGTGTAGAGGGTCTGGAGAAGTTCCCTTATGAGTCTGATGTTCTGCTGGTCTTCGAGGACTTGAGTGGGGAGAAGAAAAATGAGATCAGGGTTATGTGATGGAAACCACGCGTGTTACAGGCGGTCTTTTCCTCGCCATCGTCTGCTCCCATCACTGGGCTCTGTCTCCTTTCTCAGCTGTGCTTACTCTATCCTGGGCCAACGGTAGACTTTCCATTACATAGGTCCCTCTTTGTTCTAAATAACTCCTTTCTGTGTACGTTGCTCCTCCAGCGTCAAGGGTCCACCTGGTCAGAAAGCGGCTTTTTTTGTTCAGCAGCTGACATATTTTAGATGGTCAGCAGAAGACTGCAATTTTGGGGTTTGTAAGGTTGGGTTCTAACCCTGTCTGGATGATTTCTAGATGTTCATGGGCAGATCATTTCTCTTATGCATCAGGGCCCCCATGTGAGAGGCCATTCAGTTGAGCCAGAGGTCTCAGGTCATCGCTAGTTCAGTCCATGCCTTCATTCTGCCTTGCACACAGCTCCATTCCCTAGGAATATAGAAGCTGCAAGGCTAAGGGAGGGGTACATGTCCTCATTGAGAAAGCCAGTCAAACTTAAAGCAAGGCAAACAGATGATCCTTAAGAGAGGACAAGAGGGCAGTGGTCTTGTTCTTTGCCAAGGGCTCAGGGTGGTACCTTTTTCTGAGCTGGAAGCTGGTGGCCCTGGAATTCAGCTGACACAACTCATTGGCATCCACTCACATTACTTTAAATCTAGCGACATGTTCTTTGATGAGAAAATCCACCTGCCTATTCCCATGCCTATAAAAAGGGGCCGGGAGGGCTCACCTTTCAGAACTACTTTTTCCAAAATGTTCATGAAGTTCTTCTGGGCGATGCCACTCAGGGATGTGAGCTGCGACTTCGCTATCAGTTCCAACAGCTGTGGATAAAAATAGAAGTTGCCAGGCTTAGAATACAGAGATATTTTTCTCCTCTAATCTTCACTTTTGAGTCACATGATGCACAGATACAGGCTGATGGGAGAGAGAGAGAGATAAATGGCAGGCAAGGCCACCAGGCAATAAAGAGCAGGCACTCCCAGTGAAAGACAAATGGCGGTAATTCAAAACTCGGAGTCAGGATGAATATTTAATTGCTTTTTTTCCATTTATATATAAAGGGCTTGGGCCTCAGCCAGGGCTAATCCATTCTATTCGGTCCATTTGGGAAAGGGGAGCTGACACTATTCCAGAGGGAACAGACCTCTCATGACCTCTGAGCACGGGAGCTCCGCACAGTCACCCCCAGGGGAAACTGTTCTTGCCCTGGCTTGAACTCTTGTCTACTGGCTCCCACTGTTCTCAGGGCACAGGGAAGCTTGTGTTTGGTGACCATGCACTTGTCCCAAGACATGGTCAGCTTTTTCACATTCAATAAACCTGTCTGCTTAGATTCCTTTGCTGCATTTACCTTTCATTTTTAATAGACAGATGCCAAGGGAGAGAAACCAAGGGGTGGACAGTGTATCTACCTATTTCTTCCCAGAGGTTCAGAGGAGAAAGCCTTGTATCTGTTAACTTCGATGGGGTCTTTTTCAGACTCTCATATATATATGAGTGTTTGTGTAAGCGTAGCATGAGTGTGCCTGGTGCCATTAGAGGCCAGGAGAGGCCATTGGAACCTCTTGAACTAGAGCCACAGTGAGTTCCAGGACAGCCAGGACTCTAGAGAAGAACCCCGTCTTGAAAAGCCCAAACAAACAAGCAAAAACCTAGACGATTCTATTCTCGAAGTATAAAATGGCAAGGGGTCTTAGAGATCATCCAGTTCAACCCACTTCTCAGATGGATAAAGTGAGGCTCAAGCATATCACCAGGGCCTGTGAGATGGCTGAACAGGTGAAGACGCTTGCTGGCAAGTCCGACGGCCTGAACTTGATCTTCCAGGCACACGACAGAAGGACAGAGCCAAAAGCTGTTCTTCTGTGACCACCACACATGTGCCCATACACAGGCATGCAGTAATAGAATGAGACTTTAACACCGGCTTTATGAATTGTTTTACAACCTGCGAGAGGACTCAGCTGTGTCATACAGGGAAGGGACAGGACACACTGTGTGTTTCGAAGAATCGCCACACAAAAGGTTGCTATAGAGCCCAAACTATTTCATCAGAAGCAAGACAAATAAAGTCACCAAGAAAAACTCCACAGACTCAGGCTTAGTAAACGGACTTAGAAAACTAAGATCCAGTCAGGGAGCCACACTAGAGAGGTAACAGAAGTGAATGTGAGAATATCACAGTTAAATTTATTACTGGGTGTCATTAATATGTGCTAATTCTAAAAAGAAAGCGAAAATAGAAAACTAAGACCCATCACTTTTTGGACTCTCTGCTCCTAGAAAACTTCAATGGAACCCTGGACTCTCTCTCATCACAAAATTAAACAGGCTATTTTTGAGCAGGAACAAAATTTTCAGTCTGTTTTGTTTTAAGACAGGGCCTCACATAGTCTAGCTGCCTTCAAAGTTACTATGCTACGTAGCTAAGGATGACCTTGAACTCCGGATCCCCCATTTTCTACTTCTGTAGAGCTGGGATTACTGGTGCATCCCGCCACGCCTGTTTTACGAGATGCTGGGAATTAAGCACTGGCCTTCGAGCATGCCAAGCACACATGCTACCCACCAAGCTACAGTCTCAGCCCTGCAAGCTTTCTGAGAGCATTGTGGCAGACCAGGGCCCTGGCTGATTCCATGTGAGGTCCCTCATCACTGGACTATGACACAGTGCTGGATGCTGGAATCAAGGCAGAAGAAGGAAACAAGGTAAACCCCAAAAGCGTGCACTGCCAAAACAAAACAGAATGGGGACACAAGAAGTGAAAACAAAAGCTGACTGTAGAGGAGGAAGAACTTGGGACCCATGGGTGGTTCGGGGCGCCTCAGTGTCCAGGGACTAACTTAAACACTCTGTCCCCTCTGGGTCTCTGTCAAACCATATATAGACCTAGCCCCTTGAACGTAATTTTTCTCTAAATCGGAAAGAAAGTTTTCAACCTCAAATGTTTTCCTGCCGGGGTTGATATCTTTGACGTGTACAGTGGGTGGTACGGCCTCCTGACCTGGAGGAGGAGGACGTGACACCACTGTGTTGTGCTCAGCGCTAGGGACCTAAACTGAGAAGCCGAGGGGTTGACAAGAGAGATGCTGATGGTGGGCGCATCGAAACACACCCAGGCAGACACTCTGTCCATCTACAGAGACCAAAGCTCTCTGTGCCTGTCTGGTTCAGTTCAGCAACCCACGAGCACGTGACCGGGGAGAGAAGAACACAAACCTCTCATTTTCTCCCTGAGCAACAGCAGGCTGTGTGCAAAGCCAGGCTGAGGTTTATTAATACCCAGAGCCTCACATGACCAGCATAAAGCAAGATGAAAGACAACAAAAGCCTGGAGCTTGGAGCCTGCTCCTGCAGGGCAGGCAGCCTGCGATCAGCCAGAAATGCATCCAAGACATGGGTGCCTCGTGACCACCAGCTCCGGAGAGTGTCAGTGTTAGCCTAAGAAGGCACCGATCACAAGGAAAAGTAAATAAATAAGAACCCTCCTCTGTAGCAGCCCTGGCAGCAGACTGTATTTAGGGGAAGCAAAAGTCTCTTTGGGCTGGCTGATATTATCTTCCTTAACTGACGGGGGAGAGGAGTAACTGCTGTTAAGTGACAGAGGGGTGACATGTCAACGCTTTTCTCACCCTAACTGCAGGGAAAGTCCCTGTTGTCACAGCAAGGCAGCTGTGGAGACCTGGAACAGGACAGGATTCTCCGCCTGGGTGACCTTTGTAACTGCCAATCATTTAACAAGAATCTCTGTGTGTCCACGCTGTCCCTAGCATTGAGACAGATGACAGGGAATGATGACAAAAACACATGACCCCTATCCGAACGGAGTTTATTGCCATCCGGCTTGTTTGCGTACATGTAAAAGCCAATAAAAAGCCTATCTCAGGAAACACAAAACAGCAACAGAAAAGATGACCTACAGGATTGCTATGAGAATCAAGTGAGACAGAGACAAAAACTTACCGAGTGCCAAGCATGAAGTGTTATTATCACTGAGAAAATTATTCTTCTCCCCAATTCCAGTCTTTTATGGGAGTTTAAGGTTGACAACTGGAGTAGGCAAAATTTTTAAGGGGCCAAACAATAATTGCTTTTGTTTGTTTTTAAACAGGGTTTCTCTGTGAAACAGCCTTGGCTGGACTTGAACTCACAGAGATCTACCTGCTTCTGCATCCTGAATGCTGGGATGAAAGTCATGCACCATCGTTCCCAGCACCTGTTCTAAGGTTGGTGGGTTATTCAGTCTTTATACTAAAAATGCCCTGAGACTGTAACACAAATACAACCATAGACAATATGTAAATCAGTGTGTACCAGGTATGTATCTATAAAACTTTATTTACAAAAACCAGTGAAGGGCCAGATGTAGTCCTGGGCTTATTTCTGGTATACATCATAGAGATTGTAAGTGAAAAGTCCCAGAGTCAAACTGTTTTTTATAATGACAGCACCTGCTTTAGAACTGTTGTGAAGATCAAATAGTTCATCAAACACTCACAATGTGCCAGGAGAATATACTTAGTAGCTTATTATTAGCAGCTTTCCATCATAATACAGAGAAGACAGCGAGATAAAACTATTGCCATGTGGATAATAGCCAAGTACTAGCTAAAGAACAGCTTGTTTAAAGCCTCTGTGTTTCAGTTGTATATGGCATCAACGAAACACTTTCAGATTTTAATATTCCTCTGACATCTTTATTTGTGATGCATTCAACAGCTCTCTGTTGACACATCTCATGACCTGCAGAGGTGCTTCTTGCTTGAAGTCATATTTTGCTGACAGCAATGGACATTTACTGTGTGCAGAGACGGTGCCACAGAGTTCACCTGTGTGGGCTCAGTTTTCAATGACAAAGATGTTAAGTTCCTCACCCAACAAAGGAAGACGCTAAGAAGTCAAGTACAATAGTATGGGAGTCGATACTTGAGTCCAGACATCTCCAACAGAAAATATGTATTTTTGTAGCACTCAGGACCCCCATAGTGAAGGATATGTCAACAATTTGGCATGTAGGGCCACATTTTATTCTAATGACTGTAGCGCTATTATGACTGGTCATTGTCTGGGGAAAGAATCTGGACATTTTATATCAACCATGTACTGTGATTGGTGATCACATGCCAAGGTGAAATAATGCCCAGAAAATATTCTAACACGCTTAGAAAGAGGCAACAGCTTTGGGTTAACCTCTTACATCCATCCATAACTCTACTGCCAAGAACCAGCAGAGAGTGTCATGGGACACCAATCAACAATGATGGCGTCAAACCTGTCTATTGTTTTGTTAAGAGAGCTATTTGCCCCAGCGAGTAAGTTTGTATACAGCATTTGTTTACCAGGATGATTGAGCCAATTGGATCCTTTGCCCTTTGCCACAAGAGAAGGGGAGATGAGAGGGAAATGTCTTGTTTGGAAGTAGCTGTTTTCTGAAGGGCGAATTTCAGCTCAGGTGCCAGTAATGTGTGGCTGTGTTGAAGGAGAGGCAGAAGACAGTGAGGAAGAGGTAGTTAAGCTGTAGGCTGTCCTGAATGCCACAGTGTCATTGTGAGCGGGCAGTGTGGGAACCTGCCATTGAGTATGAGGACTACTCACTGTGCAGTGACAGAATGAAGCTTTGCCACTGGAGGCGGGGGGGGGGGGGGGGGGACGACGACCACATGCCCAAACCACATCCTGACATTCAGCCTCAACTCATGCTGGTTTTGGAGGAATTGGGGAAGAATCTAGTTGCAAGCAAAGCCATGTAGCAAATCTCAGTGTGTGTGCCAGCCACAGTTTGGCGTGATGTTTGGAGAGCCACGGGGCAAAAGCAATTTC